GCCTGTAACTTTCCTTTTTTTGGTATCTTTGTCCAGTTAGAACTGGACATGGAACAACAGACTGCTTCCAAATAGGAAAAGGGGTACGTCAAGGCTGTATATTGTCACCCTGCTTATTTAACTTATATGCAGAGTACCTCATGAGAAACTCTGGGCTGGAAGAAGCACAAGCTGGAATCAAGATTGCTGGGAGAAATATTAACAACCTCAGATAGGCAGTTGACACCACCCTTATGGCAGAAAGTGAAGAGGAACTGAAAAGCCTCTTGATGAAAGTGAAAGAGGAGAGCGAAAAAGTTGGCTTAAAGCTCAACATTCACAAAACTAAGATCATGGCATCTGGTCCCATCACTTCATGGCAAATAGATGGGGAAACAGTGGCTGACTTTATTTTGGGGGGCTCCAAAATCACTGCAGATGGTGATTGCAGCCATGAAATTAAAAGACACTTACTCCTTGGAAGGAAAGTTATGACCAACCTAGACAGCATATTAAAAAGCAGAGACATTACTTTGCCAACAAAGGTCCATCTGGTCAAGGCTACGGTTTTTCCAGTAGTCATGTATGGATGTGAGAGTTGGACTGTGAAGAAAGCTGAGTGCTAAAGAATTGATGCTTTTGAACTGTGGTGTTCAAGAAGACTCTTGAGAGTCCCTTGGACTGCAAGGAGATCCAACCAGTCCATCCTAAAGGAGACCAGTCCTGGGTGTTCATTGGGAGGACTGATGCTGAAAGCTGAAACTCCAATACTTTGGCCACCTCATGTGAAGAGTTGACTCATTGGAAAAGACCCTGATGCTGGGAGGGGTTGAGGGCAGGAGGAGAAGGGGATGACAGATGATAAGATGGCTGGGTGGCCATGGGTGGTCACCGACTCAATGGACATGAGTTTGAGTAAACTCTGGGAGTTGGTGATGGACAGGGAGGTCTGGCGTGCTGTGATTCATGGGGTCGCAAAGAGTTGGACACGACTGAGCAACTGAACTGAACTGTCTTGTTTTGATGTCAGGTTGATGCTGCCTCATACCATGAATTTGGAAGTCTTCCTTCCTCTGCAATTTTTTGGAATAGTTTTAAAAGCATAAGGGTTAAGTTTTAAGTGTTTGGTAGAATTCACCTGTGAAGTCTCTGAAGCTGAATTTTTGTTTGTTGTGAGTTTTAAAATTATTGATTCAGTTTCAGTACTGGTAGTTGGTCTGTTCATATTTCTCTTTCTTCCTGGTTTAAGTTTAGGAGATTGTACCTTTCCAAGAATTTGTCCTGAAAAGCTAGGTTGTCCATTCCCGAAGTGGTAAAGAATCTACCTGCCAATGCAGGCTCTGCAGGAGAGGCAGATTCGATCCCTGGATTGGGAAGATTCCCTGCTGTAGGAAATGGCAAGCCTCTCCAGTATTCTTGCCTGGAGAATCCCATGGAAAGTGGACCCTGGCGGGCTACAGTCCATGGGATCGCAAAAGGGTTGGACACAACTGAACACTAAAGAACAGTAGCAAGTAGTCTCTTATGATTCTTTTTATTTTTGTGATGTTGGTTGTAACTTCTTCTTTGGGATTTTATTGATTTGGATACTTCCTTTTTTTCTTGGTGAGTTTGGCTAAAGGTTTATTCATTTTGCTTATCTTTTCAAATAACCAGCCTTTAGCTTCATTGATCTTTTATTTTAATTTCTATTTTATTTACTTCTACTCTAATCTTTATGATTTCTTTCCTCTGACTATGGGTTTTATTTGTTTGTTTTTTTCTGTAGCTCATTTAGGTATAAGATTAGGTTGTTTATTTGATGTTTTTCTTCTTTCCTGAAGTCAGCATGTATTGCTGTTACCTTCCCTCTTAGAGCTGCTTTTGCTACATTCCATAGGTTTTAGATTGTCATGTTGCTGTCTTTTGTCTCTAGGTATTTATTTCCTCTTTGATTTCTTCAGTAATTCATTGGTTGTTTAGTAGCATATTGTTTAACTTCCACATGTTTGTGGGGTTTTTTGCAGTTATTTTTCTTGTAGTTGATCTAGTTCATAGCGTTGCAATCAGAAAAGATGGTTGATATAATTTCAGCTTTCTTGAATTTGCTGAGATTTCTTTTGTGGCCTCACATGAGATCTTTCCTACAGAATATTCCATGTGCAGTTGAAAGAATATTCTGCTGACTTTGTATGGACTTTTCCATGTATATACATAATCCATGTGGTTTAATGTGTGATTTAAGTTAGTGTTTCTTTATTGATTTTCTGTCTGGATCATCTGTACTTTTGATGTGAGTGGGGTGTTAAAGTCTCCTACTATTTTTGTGTTACTGCCAGTTTCTCTTTATGTATTATTAATGTTTGTTTTATGCATTTAGGTGTTCCTACAGTAGTATTCTTGCCTGGAGAATCTCACGGAGGGAGGAGCCTAGTAGGCTACAGTCCATGAGGTTGCAAAGAGTCGGACTCGACTAAGTGACTTCACTCACTCACTCACAGTGGGTGCATATATAAAGTTTTATGTTCTTATATTGATCCCTTTTTTGTTGTTTAATTCCTTTCTTTGTTTTTTATAATAGTCTTTGTTTTAAATTTATATACTTTTTTGTAAGTATTGCTATGCCAGATTTCTTTTGATTTTCATTTGCATGAGACATCTTTTTATATCACCTCACTTTTAGATGGTTGGATGTCTTAGGTCTGAAGTGAGTCTCTTGTAGGGAGTGTGTGTGTGTGTGTGTGTGTGTGTGTGTGTGTGTGTATCTTGTTTGGTATCCATTCAGTCACTCTGTGTCTTGATTGGGTCATTTATTCTATTTACATTCAATGTGGTTTCGATTGGTATGTTCTAATTACCATTTTATTAATTGTTTTAGAATTGGTTTTATAGGCCTTTTTTCCCCTTTCTTTCATTCTCTTGTGTTTTGACGACTGCCTTTAGTGTCATGTTTGGATTCTTTTGTTTGCGTGTGTGTATCTAGAGTAGATTTTTGGTTTGTGGTTACCATCAGTTTTATATGTAGGAATCTCTCAATATACATGTGATTATTTTCAATTGCTGATTTCTGCATTTCAGACATTTTAACAACCCTGTGTTTTCACTTCTCTCCACCACCACCCCCCCATGATTATGGTTTTTGACATCGTCTTTTAGATCTTTTTGTGTCTCTTAACTGCTTATTGTGAATATAGAAAAGTTTACTAGTTTAGTCTTTTAATCTTCCTACTCACTTTGTATATGGTTGATTTACTACCTTTACTGTATATTTGCTTTTAACAATGAGCTTTTCACTTTTGTGCCTTTTATGTTTCTAGTTTTTGCCTTTTCTTTTCACTTGGGAAGTTCCCTTAACATTTCTTGTAATGCTGGCTTGGTAATGCTGAACTCTTTGCTTTTGCTTGGTTGTGTAATTTTTGATCTTGCCATCAAATCTGAATGAAAGCATTATGGGGTAGAGCATTTCTTATTGTAGGTTTTCCCTTTCGTCATTTAAAATAGGTCATGCCACTCCCCTCTGGCCTATAGAGTTTCTGCTGAAAAGTTAGTTGATAGCCTGGCCTTATAGGAGTTCTCTTTTACCTAAGTTGTTGCTTTCCCTTGTTTTATTGTTCTCTCTTTATCTAAAATTTTTTCATTTTAATTATGGTGTGTCTTGGTGTGGTTGTCTTTGGGATGATTGTATTTGAAACTCTCAGTGCTTCCTGGACCTTGATACCATTTCCTTTCCCAGGCTATGGGAGTTTTTCAGCTATTTTAACTTCAGATATGTCCTCTTCTCCCTTTCTCTCACTTCTTCTGAGATTTCTGTAATGTAATATTAGGAGATTTGATGTTGGGCTGGTTCATGATACAGCTGGCTGCGGGATCAGTGGTTATCTGAAGCTTGTTCCAGCCTGGTTAGGGGTGTGGCCAAATCCCTGGGCAGCTGGCTGAGGGGCCCAAAGTGTTTAAATACTTGGTATTGGCCTGCTGGTGAGTGGGCTGGGTCCTACCATGGCAGGCTGCAGGCCACAGTGGTCCTGGGGCTGGTGTCTGACTGCTGTAGATAGGGCTGTGTCACAGGGTGACGTGGGCTCAGGTCCTCTGAAGGCAGCTACTGAGTAAGTCCTTCCTTGCTAGTTGCTTGGCCTGAGGGGTCCCAGTTCTGGTTCTGACAGACTGGGCGGGGCTGAGTCCCAATAAGCTAGAGGGAGTATTCCAGAGTGGAGCTTGGTTTACCGGTGACCATGTGTTAGAAAGAACTTTCGAAATTGCCTGCCACCAGTGTCTGTGTCCCCATGGTGAGCTCCAGTTGCCTTCTGCCTCTCTGGTAGGCTCTCCAAGAGCAGAAGGTGGGTGTAATCCAGTCTCCTTTTAAATGACTGATTCTGCTATGACTCTTAGAGTGTGTGAGATCATGTGTGTGTTTTCTTAGAAGAGAGTCTCTATTTCCCATGACATTCTGACTTTCCTGAAAGTAAGTCCCATTGACCTTCAAAGCCAAATGTTCTAGATGCTTGTGTTGGTGTAGGATTCCTGGGCTGGCGATCCCAGTGTGGGACTTGGACCTCTTGCTCCTTGGGGATAACCTCTGCAATTGTAATCATCCTCCCTTTGTGGGTTACTCACTTAGGGCTGTGGATCTTGACTATAGTGTGACTCCACTTCTTCTCCCTATCTTGTTGTGAGATCTTTTCTGCTAATCATCCAGTTTTTCTTATCAATAGTTGCTCTGCAAATGGTTGTAATTTTGGTATGCCCATTAGAGGAGGTGGGCTCAGGGTGTTCCCACTCTGCTGTCTTGGCCAATTTGAGACTCTGTTTCTATCTTAAAATCCATGAGATATATTATCCTTAGCTTGTTATCTAGCATCAATTTTACATTTGTATTACTATTAGTGAATAATTATAATTGCTCATTTAATATCCTTATAGATTATGCAAATAATTCTTTAGTTAAAAATAAAAAGTGTTGTTCATATAATCTAATACCAGATGTTTTGTAATTCTAAAGCTCAGAGAAGGAAAGAGCTAGCCCTGCTATTTCAGATCTTTCACAGATCCTCAAGTCTCAAGATGGATCACCTTTTTTAAAGACTCCAAGTGAAGGTTTAACTGATGAAGATCTGTCCCATATACTTTCATCAAAGAACTATGATAAAACATTCACAACAATGTTATGGCATGAAGAAATTAAAGATGCACAGTCTGTTGAAAAATTGCTTCAAGGGAATGAAATGTCTGCAGCATCATTTATCTCACCCTCTGTTGTTAAAAGAAGGATGCTGGGTACTGACATCTCAAAGGTGGTAAGATACAGCATAATAAATTGAAACCTTTTTATTTTAATTGCTATACTTCTTCAGTATTTTCAATCAATGTTAATTTAAAGCATCAATATTTTCTTATTTAAATGGAATTTAAAATTTGCCATTTGATTCATTATTTTTTTAATTTATTTTGTTTTGGAGTACAGCCAATTAACAATGTCATGATAGTTTCTGGTGGACAGTAGAGGGACTCTGCCATGCATATACATGTGTCCATTCTCCTCCAAACCCCTATCCCATCCTGGCTGCCACATAACATTGAGCAGAGTTCCATGTGCTATACAGTAGGTCCTTGTGGTTGCCCATTTTAAATATAGCAATGTGTATATATTGATCCCAAACTCCATAACTATGATAAAACATGTTATATATTTAGAATTTTAAAGGGATATTTGGGGATCAATATTTTAATGTAAAAGTTCTAATCTGTACCAACAAAGAATTTGTGGCTAGAATTATAATTTTAATGATAAATTGAAAGATATGTGATTTCTGAAACAGAAATTATTTCATGTTCATCTATAAAAATTTTTGTATATTAAGATAGTTGTGAGAGCATAGTTGTTTTGAAATAATTTTATATACCTTAAACAGGTCTTAGAAAATTACTAGAATTGCCTTTGCTAAAAAACTGTTCAGGAAATTCTTAGTTAAAATTCTGGGAAAAAGAAAAATGATAATGATATTTGACATATATTCATATATATATAAATGAAATTTAACCTTCACAATATTTTTTATCTTACAAGCTATTCAGTGGCATTATAAAAATAATTTTTAAAGCCATTTGAGTTTTCCTAGAGATTAAATTAGGTGAAAATATAAATATAAATTAGAATCATAATTTTAAAATATTAACTTGATTTGTTTGGAATTATTTATGAAGAAGATTCACAATTTTGCTTGGGAAAGGTCCTTCCACACTATTAAAAGTGTTCCCAAATGTCCCTCAGATCCATTAATTGTTTTCATTTTTAAGTTTGATACATTTAATAAATAATGAGAGATAAAAAGTTTCTGTAATGACATTGTAGATATAGAAGAAGGTAATTAGAGTTCTATGATGTATAATTTGTAATTACTTGTTTTAACTTTTGTGATTAAGGCTGATATTATAGAAGAGAATTTACAAACTAAGATTGAAAAACAAACTTACCAAGAAGCAAGAGAATTTCAAGGTGAAAAGAGTTTTTCTTTTGTAAGAAAAAGATGTTAATGATTTTGTGTTCCCATGTTAAAGTAAATGAAGTGAGAACATTACTAAGTATAGAAATAACTTCTTAGACAGCCATGAGAGAATATCTAAATATACTGACCAATGTGTAAAGATTAATTTGGTGAGTTAACATACTGCTCAGTTTATCTTAACTAAACTTTGTGTAAAAGGAAAGTGATAGCTTTGTCTCAACCAAATAACAGTATTTGGCAGCATAATATTATACACCAAATTCATCAGAGTATAGCAGGAAAAAATATGCTTTGTGTTATAAATAATTAATGTTTTAGCTGGGTTTTTGGGTATTCAATGTATATTTTTTATACATCAGTTTATTCTTTTTTCCCAACATACATAGCTTTTATTATAACCCATCCATATCTTATTGCATTGGCTGAAACTTCCGAAGTAATTTTTTTTAAACAGTTATGATGCAAGGAGATCAAACCAGTCAATCCTAAAGGAAATCAGCCCTGAAGATTCATTGGAAGGACTGCTGCTGAAGCTGAAACTCCAATACTTTGGCCACCAGATACGAAGAACTGACTCACTGGAAAAGACCCTGATGCTGGAAAAGATTGAAGGCAGAAGGGGAAGGGGACAGCAGAGGATGAGATGGTTGGATGGCATCACCAACTTGATGGACTTGAGTTTGAGCAAGCTCCAGGAGTTGGTGATGGACAGGGAAGCCTGGCATGCTGCAGTCCATGGGGTTGCAAAGAGTTGGACACGACTGAGTGACTGAACTGAAAGTATGGAAGTATCACTCTTCTCTGGTGCTTCGAAATGAGAGTGTCTCTATGGTTTCACCTGTGATGATTATTTACCTGAGATAAATATTTTGATTATGGTCAGGATGTTTTCTTTTGGTCAGAGTTTATCATGAATTTTTAACCAGTAGTTGAACTCAATTTAATCAATTGACATATTTTTTTCATTGTGATAAAATATACATACAATTTGACATTTTAATCATCTTTAAAGTATAAAATTCAATAGCATCAACTGCATTCACAGTGTTGTGCAATCATCACTACATCTATATCCACAACTTTCATCACCCTGAAAAGAAACTTGTTAGGAAGTAACTCCCATTCCTGCCTCCATCCAGCCCCTGGTAACCTCTCACTTACTTTCTGTCTCTGTGAGTTTGGCTATTATGTTTCATGTAAGTGGAATTATGTATTTGTCCTTTTGCACCTGGCCTGTTTCATGTAAGTGGAATTATGCTGTTTCACTTAGCATCATAATATTTTCAGGGTTCACCCACAGTTTAGCATATGTCAGAATTTTGTTTCTCTTTATGAACTGTGGTGTTGGAGAAGACTCTTGAGAGTCCCTTGGACTGCAAGGAGATCCAACCAGTCCATCCCATCCTAAAGGTGATCAGTCCTGGGTGTTCATTGGAAGGACTGATGTTGAAGCTGAAACTCCAATACTTTGGCCACCTGATGCAAAGAGCTGACTCATTTGAAAAGACCCTGATGCTGGGAAAGATTGAGGGCAGAAGGGGACGACAGAGGATGAGATGGTTGGACAGCATCACCGACTCAATGGACATGAGTTTGGGGAAACTCTGGGAGTTGGTGATAGACAGGGAGGCCTGGCATGCTACGGTTCATGGGGTCACAAACAGTTGGACACGACTGAGTGACTGAACTGAATTGAATGTATTATTGTATGTGCATACCACATTTTGTTTATCCATTCATCTGCTTATGGACATTTAGATTCTTTCCACTTTTGGCTACTGTGAATAATTCAACACTGAACATGGTATAGGATATCTGTTTAAATCTCTGTCTTCAATTGTTTGGGTAGGAGTATATTTGCTGGATCATAAAATAATTTTAAGTTTAGCTTTCTGAGGAACTGCACAACTGTTTTCCACAGTGGCTGCACCATTTTCTGTTCCCAGTAACAGTGTACAATGGTATACACCCTTGTTTTCCTTTTTGTTTGAATTATGTTTATTCCAGTAGGTATGAAGTGTATCTCATTACAATTTTGATTCACATTTACTTAATTATTAAAGATTATAAGCATCTTTTTGTGTGCTTATTGGTAATTTGTATAGCTTCTTTGGAAAAAATGTCTTTACAACTCCTTCACCATTTTTTTTTAATATTTAAAGTATTTATTACCTACTGAACTTTAAACCAAGTCTCAATAAAACACAACAAAATTGTGCCACCATATAAATGATATCCTCTTATCAAAATTAAATTAACTTGGAAATAAATATTTTAAAATCAAGTATTTGGTCATTCAAAATTTTTATATAATTTTTATAAATTATATATAATTCATTAATCAAATAAGATATAAAAATGGAATTAGAAAATAGTAGAACTTTTAAAAATAAGGAAAATACTATATATCCAAATGTGAAAAATGTTCAAATGTTCTTAGAGAAGAATTTCAAATTTTAAATATTTATATTTTATTTTTTTATTACTTTATTTTAATTAGAGGCTAATTACTTTACAATATTGTGGTGGTTTTGGCCATACATTGACATGAATCAGCCACAGGTGCACTTGTGTCCCCCACGTCCTGACCCCAATCCCTTCCCATCGCATCTCTCTGGGTTGTCCCAGGGCACTGACTTTGAGTGCCTTGCTTCATGCATCAAAGTTGGACTGATCATCTATTTCACATATGGTAATATACATGTTTCAATTCTAGTCTCTCAAATCATCCCACCCTCACCTTCTCCCACAGAGTCCAAAAGTCTGTTCTTTACATGTATGCCTTTTGCTGTCTTGCATATAGCATCATCATTAGCACCTTTCTAAATTCCATATATACTGTATTGGTGTTTTTCTTTCTGACTTACTTCACTCTGTATAATAGGCTCCAGTTTCATCCATCTCATTAGAACTTAATGAAATGCATTCTATTTAATAGCTGAGTAATATTCCATTGTGTACATGTACCACAACTTTCTTATCCATTCGTCTGCTGATGGACATCTAGGTTACTTCCATGTCCTTGCTATTGCAAACAGTGCTGCAATGAACATCGGGGTACATGAGTCTCTTTCAATTCTGGTTTCCTCGGTGTGTATGCCTAGCAGTGGGATTGCTGGGTCATATTTCCAGTTGTTTAAGGAATCTTCACATTGTTCTCCATAGTGGCTGTACTAGTTTGCATTCCCACCAACAGTGTAAGAGGGTTCCTGTTTCTCCACACCCTCTCCAGCATTTATTGTTTATAGACTTTTTGATGCAGCCATTCTGACCAGCGTGAGATAGTACCTCATTGTGGGTTTTGATTTGCATTTCTCTGATAACGAGTGATGTTGAGCATATTTGCATGTGTTTGTTAGCCATCTGTATGTCATCTTTGGAGAAATGCTTCCTTAGTTCTTTGGCCCATTTTTTGATTGGGTCCTTTATTTTTCTGGTATTGAGCTGCATGAGCTGCTTGTATATTTTTGAGATTAATTCTTTGTCAGTTCCTTAATTTGCTATTATTTTCTCCAATTCTGAGGGCTGTCTTTTCACCTTGCTTATAGTTTCCTTCTTTGTGCAAAAGCTTTTAAGTTTAATTAGGTCCCATTTGTTTATTTCTGCTTTTATTTCCATTACTCTGGGAGGTAAGTCATAGAGGATCCTGCTGTGACTTACGTCAGAGAGTGTTTTGCCTATGTTTTCCCCTAGGGGTTTTATAGTTTCTGGTCTTATATTTAGATCTTTAATCCATTTTGAGTTTATTTTTATGTATGGTGTGAGAAAGTGTTCTAGTTTCATTCTTTCACAGGTGGTTGACTAATTTTCCCAGCACCACTTGTTAAAGAGATTATCTTTTCTCCATTGCCTATTTTTGCCTCCTTTGTCAAAGATAAGGTGTCCATAGGTGCATGGATTTATCTCTGGGCTTTCTATTCTGTTCCATTGATCTATATTTCTGTCTTTGTGCCAGTACCATACTGTCTTGATGACTGTGGCTTTGTAGTATAATCTGAAGTCAAGCAGGTTGATTCCTCCAGTTCCATTCTTCTTTCTCAAGATTTCTTTGGCTGTTCGAGGTTTTTTGTATTTCCATACAAATTGTGAAATTATTTGTTCTAGTTCTGTGAAAAATACTGTTGGTAGCCTGATAGGGATTGCATTGAATCTGTAGATTGCTTTGGGTAGTATATTCATTTTCAATATATTGATTCTTCCAATCCATGAACATGGTATATTTCTCCATCTGTGTCCTCTTTGATTTCTTTCATCAGTGTTTTACAGTTTTCTATATATAGGTCTTCTGTTTCTTTAGGTAAATTTATTTCTAAATATTTTATTCCTTTTGTTGCAGTGGTGAATGGGATTGTTTCCTTAAATTCTCTTTCTGTTTTCTCATTGTTAGTGTATAGGAATGCATGGGATTTCTGTGTATTAATTTTATATCCTGCAAATTTACTTTATTCATGGTAGCTCTAGTAATTTTCTGGTGATGTCATCAGGGTTTTCTGTGTAGAGGATCGTGTTATCTGCAAACAGTGATGGTTTTACTTCTTCTTTTCTCATCTGGATTCCTTTTATTTCTTTTTCTTCTCTGATTGTTGTGGCTAGTACTTCCAAAACTATGTTGAATAGTAGTGCTTCACCCATTTTTTAATTGGGCTACCAGCTGTAGCCCCTGGTAGAAGTTGCAGTGGCAGGAACTCCAGTTATCTCTGAAAGCTGGCTACAGTGTCTTCCATATGCATTTAAGGAGGGTACAGACTTCGCTGTTGTTGGATGGAATGTTCTATAGAAATCAAAAACCTCTGCAGAACTCTTATAGTTTTGTTCAATTCTGTTACCCTTTTGATCTTAGTTGCTTTATTCATTGTTTAAATTTGGACTATTAAATTCTCTGAATATTATTGTTGTAATGTCTGTCTGTAATTGCATATGGTCGGTCATGAAATATCACACATAAGATTTTAGTCTGGAAGTGGACTCCTCAATATACATACACAAATATAGATACACATATTCATACACATATATACCTACATAGACATAAATGCATATACATAGATATATTTTGAAATCATGAGCTCTCATGAATGTCTTCAATTCTAATTTATCCTCTCAGGTCTTATTTTTTCCTTCCTTTGTTTTGTATGTCTATGTCCTTTCTTCTACAGTGTTAACTTGACTCTAAACAACAGCAGCACATTTACTCATTTGATGTATCCTATAATGCTGCTAAGTTTCTTTGAGAATTCTTTGCCGTTTTACTTCCATTTTAGTATTTTGTTGATTTTATTTTGGAGGTGATACGTACAACATTAACCTACTTCCCAAAGTATAAGCATGCAAAAGATGTGCAGTTGTCCCTTGGTACCCACAAGGGGTTGGTTCCAGGACCCTCCTAGATACCAAAGTCCAGAGATGCTCAAGTCCCTTATATAAAATGGTGCTATATTTGCATATAACTTATGCATAGCTTCCCAAATATTTTAAATCATCTCTTGCTTATAGTACCTAATACAATGTGAACACTATGTATATAGTTGTAACTACAATGGAAATATTATCTAAGTAGTTGCCAGCACATGGCAGAGTTTTCCTTTTTGGAACTTTGTGGAATTTTTTCTGAATGTTTGCAACCTGCAGTTGATTGAATCTGCAGATGTAGTACCCACAGATACAAATGGCCAACTGTACTTAGAGAACTATCATTCCCCCTGTACTCCCTGGACCTACTGTCACCCCCTTGAAGACAAATAAGTATATTGTTTTCTGGTTTAACTTTCTAGTGTTTTGTTTTGTAGATTAGTGTCTCTGTTTCTCTCCACTTTACCCCCTCATTTCCCATGTGTTCTTACTCAAATGGTAACATACTGGATATCTTCTTTTTCTTTTTTTTTTCATTTAACATTATGTCCTAGAAATAATAAAATACAACCCCATTAAAACTATTTTCATGTCAGACCTAGCGTTATGATAATTTAGTTGCTGTACAGTCACAAAGTCAGGTACAACTATTCACATCCCCATGGACTGTAGCATGCCAGGCTCTTCTGTCCTCCTCTGTCTCCAGCTCCTGGAGTTTGTTTAAATTCATGTCCATTGAGTCGGTGATGCTATCTAGCCATTTCATCCTCTGCTGCCCCCTTCTCCTTTTGCCTTCAATCTTTCCCAGCATCTGGTTCTTTTCCAATGAGTCAGCTCTACCCATCATGACCATAGCCAAAGTATTGGAGCTTCAGCTTCAGCATCAGTCCTTCCAATGAATATTCAAGGTTGATTTCCTTTGGGATTGACTGGTTTGGTCTCCTTGCTGTCCAAGGGACTCTCAAGAGTCTTCTCCAGCACCACACTTTGAAAGCACACTTCAGTGCTCAGCCTTGTTTATGGTCCAACTCTCATGTCCTTACATGAATACTGGAAAAGTCATAGCTTTGACTATATGAACCTTTGTCAGCAATTTAGTTATAACTTTTAAAAAATGAGAGAAAATTTGCTGTATATTTGTTTTAAATATAGAGATTTCACAATAGTTCTATCTATCTAGTAGACTAAAATGTATCTCTTTATGTAGCTTCTGGGAAAGAATTAGATGAAAATCCTCTGTTTAAGAATGAAACACCATCAGAAACTAAAAATCTGTTGTTGTATCAGGGAACTACTAGAGCAAATAGACGCAATGGTAAGAATTATAGACATCTTTAAATTATTTGGGCTTCCCTTGTGGCTTAGCTGGTAAAGAATTAGCCTGTAATGCAGGAGAACTGGGTTCAATCCCTGGGTTGGGAAGATCCCTTGAAGAAGGAAAAGGCTTCCCCACTCCAGTATTCTGGCCTGGAGAATTCCATGAACTGTATAGTCTGTGGGGTCGCAAAGAGTAGGACACGACTGAGCAACTTTCACTTTAAATTATTTGAAGTTAAGCTCATTAAAAGATATTTTTTCTTTAATTTTCATTAAATAATAGATAAAGCAACAAAGATCAAGAAAGAGAAAAAAAACTGAACAACACATTATAAATATTTGTGCATATATTTTATAGAAGTTTTATGCTTTGATGTAAGTGTGACTACCCTAAGATAACCTGAAAACTAAATGAAGCCTTTGATCAACTTTTGTTTGCTATTTGCATGATTAGTGACTAGTATATAACAAGATTGCCTCCACACACACTCATGAAAACTGCTCACACAAATTGCCTACTTCCCTTCCAGAGTCTGTTTGAATATGTATTATAATTCACTGCTTTGCAGTCCTCCTCCTTTAGTGTTGCATGAATTAGAAGAAATTTTGCTGATTACTTGGTATATTCAGAAGTTTTATAATAGATCCATTTTTCTGTTTAGCATTTCTTATAACTGAGCCAAAAGCTATGATTATTGGTGATCAATTGCATGAGGATATAGCTTCAATTTTAAACAGGCAGTCTCAAATTAGCCGTGAAGCTTCAGGAAGTGGCAGTTTTAACAGTAAGTAATTAATTTAAAATCTTGAAAAATATTTTCAGTTAAATTCAGGAGAGCTTTGATCCATGGTTCATGAATGTATCTATAAGTATTTTGTTCATTGATTACTTATCTGTGTGTTCTATAAGTCCTGAGTTGGATGGGTTAAATTTCCTGCTATGATTATGAATTACTCTGTTTTGTTCTTATGTCAAGTCTTGTCTTATGATACTTTATCATTAACATTCATATAAAGTTAAAATGAATATTTTTCCTAGAATTTTGAGGCAAGAGTACTGGAGTGGGATTTCCTTCTCCAGGGTATCTTGCCAACCCAGGGGTCAAACCCAGGTCTCCTGCATTGTAGGCAGATGCTTTAGCATCTGAGCCACCAGGTAAGCCCCAAGAGGACAGACCCTTTTCTAATAAGAGACCCACTTTTATAGTTTTTTTTTTTTTTTTTTTGGCCATAAATAACTACCATGCCTGCTTTTAATGTGGCTTTAACTTCTGACTGGTATTTTCATGACATGTTTTTTTTCTGTCCTGTTGTTTTAATCATTTTGTATCATTATGGTTTTTCTGTTTCTTTTCGTGTGAAGATGATAATAGTATTTTTCAAATTCAGCTTGATATGTTTGTCTTTTTTCTTTGAATATTTCTTTATTTGGCTTTGTTGGGTATTAGTTTTGGCAAATGGGCTTAGTTGTACCATGTGTGTAGGATCTTAGTTCCCTGACCAGGGATCAAACCCAAGTCCCCTGCGTTGTAAGGTGGAGTCTCAATCACTGGACCACAAGGGAAGTCCCTGTATCTTTGTCTCTTAATTAGCACTCATAGTCACACTTCATCGAATTTTGGTGATTTGAGATTTAAGTTATACTGTTTTCTTTGTGCTTCAATTCTTCCTACTTTGTAAGTTTCTTTTACCCTCTTTCTGATGTATATTTGTATCATTACGTATTTTTTCTTAGACATATCTGACACTGCAAATTTTAACTTTATTCTAAAGTGTGAATATGCCAAGAAAGTGAAATAATATTTTAAATAGTGTTAGCCAATATTAAATTATTATTCACTTTAGATCATTGATATCTCTGAATATCTAAACAAGACTGATTCTATTTACAGAAGTGAAAAATGTGGTCACATATGTTTATTCTTTGATAATCTTTTTTAATACTTTATTACCACAGAGTGTGATTTGTTTATATTTTAATAAATGAGGTAAAATATTATTGGGTAATTAACATATATTGCATATAGTGCTTACAGCACATATCTGGTTGTCCAGTGCATATGAAAGTCATAGCTCAGAGTATGCATGAAGTATCAGATAAAATATTTTACATAGTACTTAGAGTTGAGAGAAAAAATTCAGTAGTAAATATTATTATAAAAATTATTAAATTATTTTAATTGAATTAATTGATTTTAATTAAGTGGAATATGTAGCCTGATTCAGACTTACAATATCACTGCAAAATTTTTAAAAGTTATATTAAAAAATATTTTTATTTCTTGGTTTTCTTGAATTTTTGGTTCATTCTACCATTTGCTGAAACATGCATATTGAATTCTTTTGCTATAATTTTGGATTTATCTATTTTTGTATTACTGGCCTCCTTATACTGCCTGTGTTATTAACATATACAGTTTTTTAAAAGTTCATGTTTCTGGTGAACTCAACTTTTTATTAAAGAGACCATCTTAATCTTTGGTAAGTTCCTTTGACTTAAATTCTGTATTGTCTGATGACGTAACTATAGCAGTTTTATTCTGATTAATATGTGCATACATATCTTTTTTTCATATATTTGCTTTTCACCTTTCTGTATTATTAAACTTTGGTGTGGTATATCTTATAAATAGTTTATAGTCAGATTGTTTACAAATCCAATATTTTTTCCTTTATTCCAGGAACACATAATCTATAATTATTAAAACTATAAATATATTGGATATAAATATCCTCAGATACTTTGTTTTTCCCCACTATTCCATTTTTCATTTTTACATGAATGTTGAACCATTATTTTTATTTCAATTTTAAAATCAATCTCATGGTTTAAAATGTGAAAACTTTAAAAAAGTGAATATACTTAGAAAAATGAAGTTTACCTTCAACTTTTAAGTATATGTATGAAATAACAGAGTGCCTACACGTTCTTTCAATAGAAACACTGTCATGGTTATACTAAACATCATAGTCCTGTCTTATATTTTGATCTTTTAAAAGATTGTGGTCATTTGCTTAAATTGTTACAAAAATGAAAGGAAACTTTAGGTGATACTTGGTCTATCTTAATTCAGAAGCTTCACAGTAAAAGTTTACTGTTTTAGTGGATTAAAATCTTCTTTTCTTATAGTTGAGAAAATGGATATCAGATGAAAATATGTCACTTGAAGATGAAGTTTTAATCTCAAAAATCCCACCTCAAATTCAGAATGTTGGAATTTCTAGGAAACTGTTTTTGATAGCTTGACAATGATATGTGTATGTGTGGATCTCATTGAGTATGCTTTACTTTGGGCTTGTTGAGCTACTTTATGTGAAGATTACTGTTTTTCATAATATTGGGGAAGTTACTGATCATTATTTCTTCACAGATTCTTTCTTCTTTCTCTGCTTTTCCTCTTTGTTGCCCATTATGCTTACGTTGATACTCTCGTTTCCATCAATCTCTGAGGCTCTGTTTGTTTCTCTTCATGGTCCTCAGACTGGATAATCTCAGTTTACCTCTGTTCAGTTTCACTCATGAAGTCTTTCCCTTTTTAACCCAACCTTTAAACTTATCTTTCCATTTCAGTTATTTTTCTTTTGATTCCAGAATTTCTTTTTGATTCTTTTAAAAAATCTCTATCATGTTATTGATATTCTCTGATGGATGAAATAATATTTATACTTTCATTCTTTAGACATAGTTTTCTTTAGTTATTTGAACATATTTCAGAAACCTGGTTTAAAATCTTTGTCTAGTAAGTTCAGTGTCTGGGCTTCTTCATTGAGAGGTTCTATTGACTGCTTTCATTCTGTCCTGTATACTAGCACTCTTTTGTGTCTTTGCATGTCTCATATTTTTTTGATTGAAGACTAACCATTTTAAATATAATTGGCAACTCTGGAAATTAGATAGCTCTTCTACAGGGTTTGTATTTATTTGGTTGTTTAATAAGTTTATTGGGCTAGCCTGTAAAGGCTGCATTCTTCATTGTGTGTGGCCACTGAAGTCCCTGTGCAGTTAGCTTAGTAGTTAGATATGAATGGACAGAGATTTTCTTAAGTGTAATTAAATCTCTGCTTCTGTTGAGAAGGTCGTATTACTTTAATGATTCTGTCAATTGTAATAGTTAATTATCTGGGAAATTTTAGATGCAAAATCATATAAAGTTAATAGTATAGTGTTGTTAACTATAAACACAATGTTTTACAGAAGTTATCTAGAACTCCCTTATCTTGCATACCTCAAATTTTATACTTAATGAACAGCAACTTTCCATTTTCCCCTGCTTCCAACCCATGGGATCTACCATTCTCCTCTTTTGTTAGGAGTTTGACTACTTTAATACCTCATATAAATGGAATCCTACAGTATTTGTTCTTCTATGGTAGGCTTATTTCACATAATGTTCATGAGGTTCACCTGTGTTGTCACTTATAACAAGATTTCCTTCTTTTTAAAGACTGAATAATATTCCATTGTATATATGTACTACATTTTCTTTATCCATTCACACTGATGGATATTTAGGCTGCTTCCCCATCTTGGCTATTGTGAATAGTGCTACAGTGAATATGAAAGGATAAATATCTTGTCAGTCCTGATTTCAGTTCCTTTGGATATTAAATACAGATGTTGGATTGTTGGATCATATAGCAGTTATTAATTTTTGAGATACCACTGTACTGTTTTCCAAGTGGCCATACCCTTGTACATTCCTACCAATAGTGTATATCCTCACTACAACTTATCTTTTGTCTTTTTGAAAACAGCCATCCAAATAAGTGTGAGATGATGTCTCATTGTGGCTTATTTGTATTTCTCTGATGATTAGTGATATTGAGCACATTCTTAAAAACCTCTGGGCCATTTTTATCTCTTCTCTGGAGAAATATCTATTCAGGTATTTTGCCTATTTTTTAATTTGTTTGTTTTGTTGTTGTTTGGTGTTAGGAGTTTCTTATATTTTTAAATTAAACCCTTATTGCATATGTGGTTTGCAAGTATTTTTCCCATGCCAAAGACTGACTTTTTACTCAGTTTACTTTGCCATGCATAGCTTTTTAGTTTGGTGCAGTTCCACTTGTTGATTTTTGCTTTTGTTGCTGGTGCTTTTGATGTCATATCTAAGAAATAATTGCCAAGACCAATGTCATACAGCTTTTCTCCTATGTTTCCTTCTAGGATTTTTATAGTTTTGGGTTTTACGTTTAAGTTTTTGATCCATTTTGAGTTTACTTTTTCTGGTTTGGGTAAGATATGAGTCTAATTTCATTCTTTTTCCTGTGGATATCCAGTTTTTCCAACATTATTTCTTAAAGAGATTATCCTTTCCCCATTGTGTATTATTGGCACCTTTGTCACTGATCAGTTGACTATATATGCATGAGTTTATTTTTTAGTTATTTTCTTTTTCTGGCCTGTGTCTGCTGTTATGCCAGTATCAACTATTTTAATTAGCATAGCTTTGTAACATGTTTTGAAATCATGATATGTGATCAAGATTGTTCTGGATATTCAGGATACTTAGTGTTCCACATGAATTTTAGGATCATTTTTCTGTTTAAAAAATACCATTGAAATTTTGATAGGAATTGCATTTAATCTACAGATCTCTTTGGGTAAATGGACATTTTAGCAATGTTAAGTCTTCTGATCCATGAACACAAGATGTCTTTTCATTTATTTGTATTTTCTAATTTCACCAATACCTTTTATTAAATTAAAAAAATTAATTAAAAAAATTTTAGCTGCGTTGGGTCTTTGTTGCTGTGCATGGGCTTTCTCTAGTTGTGGCGAGTG